ATGAAAGTGGAAAACTATACACCACATTATACAATATGGATTCGCCTCAAGATGTGACCCTCCGTTTTATGAATTGAAAATTTCCCATAGTCATTGTCGAAAATTGGCAAAGTGTCCAGGAGGGAGAGATTTATGACTTACACAACACAGATAAGTCAGTCTTTCTATGCAAATTACTTCACGTGTCTCGTGCAAGCCAATAGTTGAGGAAGCTATAAATTCATTCTCATCTCGCGAATCGCCAATGAGACAAAAAGCAGCGATATTAATCATCTGCTGATTGATTAAATTCCATTTCCATAAACTTGTCCCTTTTTTGCAATCTGCGCATCATTTTTTGGCGCCACTCTAATATGGAGCCAAAATTAAATTACAACTGAAATTAATGATTGTCTTGTCTTGTGCTCCTAAACAATCCATGAAAATGATATTAATGACTTTTCCTATGCGCCTTCTCCAGTGGAAAATGAATTGTATAGTTCCTCAGATATGGATCGTTTCGCCTTACAGTATTTCGCAATAATGATTTTCGTGCTTATAACGTTGAATTTTATGGAACATTGAGTGTGTTCTTTCATACAAAATGCCATCTCATGACAAATTAAAGGCAAACGAAAATGTAATGCAAACATTGAGTTCTCAAATGCAGAATTAACAGCGGAATTCCCAAAGTCCAGCCATCTTTCGTGACGATCGATCATTTGAACTGGCTTCCAAGAAGTGTAGAGAGTAAAAGTGATATAAAAGTGAAAACACTAAACATAAACAATAACAAATAATAAGTTTCTCTCACCCAGATTAGCAAATCTATCTTCTTGCACTGTTCATTCCCTCCATTGCCAGTTTGTATTCCACATGGTTAATCATCGTCTCTTCGAGTGCATTTTCATTTACTGCGTTCACGGTCGTGCTTTTGGGCACAGAGCATCCAAGTCTCTTTTCACAGCATGAATACAACTAATCTGCGAATGAGGGAGTGTGAAAAGGGCCCGACAATCGATCAAGCTCTTTTTTTTAATTAAATTCCTGTATGTGACATTCTAAAGTTTTGCCCTGAAAAACACTTGTCTTCACAATGCAAATCAATATAATTCGCCATCCAAATGCAATATGTTGTGCGGCTGAAGTTGCACTTGATTGGAAATTCTTTCAATACACACATCCACATACACCCCGTCCAATTCTATCGCCCCATTTTTTTCTCCTTTATCCAATACACATCACATTGCGGAGAAAATTCTAACATTGGCATTTACCATGTGAGCGGCTGCAAAACCGCAGATAAAATTCAAACAATCACCTCTTAGGATTGAATTGAATTATTCAACCAAATCAGTCCTCGCCAGCGCATACAATACTAATTGCATCCAATTTCGACTGATTCCACACATTGACCACTTTATTGCCGCCACACAACTTTTTATCTCTGCAATTTTTTCACTCACCCACGCACGTTTGCCGTCAATTATCGAAAAAGATAAATAGAGATTCGACACATCAATTTAATTATTCTGGGATGGTGACATTAATTGCCACATTTTTATACACCATTCGCGCCCCATCCGCGCCACAGAATTCACTATTAATTAACTATTCACGGAATTCTAGTCTGTTCATGTTCGCGAAGGGGGACAAATTGAGCCATTATTAGCTATACAATTTGATCCACTATGCTAACATGATCATTTGATTTCAATGATTGTATAATCTGTGCGCATTTGCCAGGAAATGCTGGAAAAACAGCCTTTGTGGCTAATTAAAATCCAGTCAGTGCGCAGTCTTGTAAGGAAAACTCACAATTTTCCATGTTCTTAGCATGGGGCTATTTAAATGTGTTCCTTCGTTTGCAGTCACGCTCAATTGACGATCAACAGTAGTAAATTTATACCTTAAACCTCTTTGTATTGGCATTATCAAAATGAAATCATCATAAGTTGAGACATTACTAACGCGCGCGTGGCTTTCCAAGAAGACTTTCTAAAAAATGGCCTTGGAAAAGTGATGAAGATTGCTTAGAGCCGCATGATAAATTACTTTCAATTGGACAGTCTAAAATTGAGGTCTCTCATTTTTTGAGTAATCACACTAAGCTGCAATTATACAACCCTGTCAATAGAGATAGGCAAGAATGGAGCTAATTTCAATACTACATACATATACATAATTTGAAATACGATTACAGGAGAAGCATAGTTTGTAGGTGTATTTAGACTGTCGCATGTGAAATTTACCCAATGCACTTGCGTTAAGCTTATGAAAATGCTACAATAATACCACAGATCTTCTACATGGACTCTGCATATTTCCAGTGCACTTTAGATTCCCAGAAACTATTCTATTCTAACCTTATAATGTGATTATCACTGTTGATTCACCATCTGCAAATCCCCATTGAAACACTCAACGATGAGCTGAATCAGAATCAATTAGCGAAATTATACTCAATTCCCTTCACTGCAGCCACTGAGAAAGTCAACATTATACCAAGAGTGGCTGCATTGTTCCTCAGCATCTTTTTTCTATTCTATGATTAATGGAGTGCCTCCAGGGAATGGTTGGCGAAAGCTCGCTTCTCGGGTGGAGTGCAATTATCCCAATACGTCAGTGGGTGAATTTTTATGTGGAGTGCGAGAAAGTTGGAAGTGTTTGCCAGGTTTCCACTGAATGGACTCCTACGAAATGGTTGAGGAAAAAAACGTAGCGCGTCTATTAATCAGCATTGCGACTAAACTCTTACAATTGAAAATTCTCCTCACAGCCATAAATTGGCATTAAAGAAGAGGGAGAATCTGCACAATGGCCAGGACTCCCCGTTGGGGTGGTAGTTCTGGGCCTCGACGTGGAATCCAATGTGAATAAATCAAACAATCCTCAGAGTGGCCAAAGGTATGGAGAGCGCTCGCAAAATAGAAATTCTTGCGCCAAATACAATTTCCTTAGCATATAAATCACCCATTTACAAGATATCATGCGAAGCAACTCTCTTACGTGTGGTTTTACATATTGACGAAAAGTTGTTGTCGTCATGTTAAGTGGCAATCCAAAGCAATATACAATTCACAATTTCCATTGTGAAATTTCTTCTGCAAAGCACAATTTATGAAAACATCGCTTCCATTTGACATGATGCACTTTTGTGTACTATAGTCGAATGCATTTGATCCCATAAGTGGATAACATTTACATTGTAATATTCGTCACAATCATCCACAAGAGCCATAACTTATTTTGTATTTGAGTAATGTGGAAGTTCAGTAACAAATTGTCAATACATTAGGAGTTTTAATCATCATTGAAAATCACTGTCGTCAGGCACTTTTGTGAACACATTCTCGTCAGCAGTAACATAAAGGCAAATATTTGGCATTTGTTCATCTCTCAGTGATTATTTAATTATCGATAGTGTGTAAAATCAAATATTCAGTCGAGGTTGATAGGAAATTCTACACAAGAAAACCTTCTGTGCTTTCCCACGTGATTTTGCATTCAATGGACAGGTCTTAAGCAATGTGATTCTCCTCAGCCTTGGACTTTTTAGCTATTTTTTCCACCACACGAAGGCAACTTGGCAGATCTAAGCGCAAATTATGCCATGAGAAATTCGATGCTTAGTTCGATTTGTCCATCCTCAGCATCACAAGACACGAGAAGATTGACATGTTTTCGGTATTCACTATCAAAGGCGAGTGTCGGCGTAAAATGAGAATGAACATCTCATTGAGTGCCTAATTGATTTTCAAAAGTCAGAATTGATATATCATCGCGATAATGAAAGTGTGTTCGCAATTTCCGTATAATGAGGAAAAATTGTCAGCCCAATACTCCCGGATGCAATAATTCGCCCAACATGAAAATGATGATATCGTCTTGAGGAGTTAATTAACATTTTGCAACTGACGGTTTATATTTCAATCTGGGCTTTGCCATACTCTGTCTTCAAAGGAGGAAATTCTCATGTGAAATTGCTCAATGAATTCCCAATGGAATGCCCGCGGGATCATTAAGGCGCACGAGAGCAATGAAATTGGGAGCATTTTTGCGCCCCCCATCAAGCTCGCAGGTCATCAGGCCAAGATGGTACAAAGTCACATGAATGAGATTTAAATGATCTTTTAATAGGCAAAACACACCCCTCTTGATGGCAATTTTTCATTTCGCGTGCCAACGCTGTAAGATTTATCATTTTCCGCCCTAATCCCTCACCATTGAGGGTGTATTAAAATAATTCATTATCGTAGAAGATATCCGCGTGGCATGTGTTATTTTTAGTCCTCCGCCGCCCACCATTTTCGGACTTTCCCGCGCTATGAGGAAAATTGTCGAGAGTGAAATTAAATGGATATTTCTGATCTTTCATACCAACACAGAGAGCGTCTCAAGTACATTTAACATCAATATTATTTCTGAGCTCAACTTGGCCAAGTGTTTTCACTTAATTAAAAACTTGCTCGTTTTTCCTACACGCTTTTCACGGCCAGACTCAAGAATCGCATGTGACCTCTGAACCCGACAAGAGCAGATGCGTTGTTTACTACGGAATTCTCATTACCAGATGCAAAAAGGACATACACGCATTTCGCCCCAGGATAATTCTGCTATGTGCGCCAAACAGTATCTATAATCTCTGACACTGATTTAGTTTGTTTCTTCAAAAAGCAAAAACAGCCCTCATCACTCTGTGTTCCAACCATTTGACCCATTTACACATCTTGCTTCAATTTCTTCGAGCTTTGTGAGAAAAGAATAATAATACGGAATCATTTGCTTTACCCAATCAATTTTAGAAAATCACTGATCTAATAATTGATGTCTCATTCTGAATACTTAAGAAGTTATTACATGTTAGGATCTTAGAATTATGTTACACTTCCATTTGTCGAACCGACTTGATTTAAAACTTTGCATGATCAAATGCGATTCAATCTGTTGGGAAAAACATTCACTAACTCGTACAATGAAAACATCGCCCTAGAGAATACAAATATCATCTCGAGACGAACCTTTTTAACGGGCATGAGGAGTGCATTGCCGGCGGGAGTGCTCTGTCGAACTGGAACGACGCCCACGTTGAGGTTTATTCCCGCCATTTGGGTGGAGGTCTGGCTAGAGAGCGGTGGCGGCGGCTGTGTGGCCTGCACGCCGGACAAAGTCTGCTGGCCGAGGGTGAGATTGTGTGAGGGGCCCAGGAAGGTTCTCAGCGAGATCGGCGTGAACATAGCGGCCGCCGCGGCGGGATGCATTGGCGGCTGATGAAGGCCAGCCGGCGGGTGGTGCAGCGCAGCGGGATGCAGATGCTGATAGTTCTGCTGCTGTGTAGCCTGTTGTGTGGCTGCAGACACTTGCACGGCACCCGGCTGTCCTGCCGCTTGTGGATGAAAGCCCGCCGGCGACGGGTGCAGCGGTACTAACATCTTCTGCAGCGGCACGCCCCACGGCAAATACCACGAGCCTGGATGATGCTGCATCTTGCACAACACACTCAGCACTGGTATATTTGCACTCTTGTACTGTCCGCTTCGCCCCACTTGCAAAACCTGGACTCACGAGGAGAGAGGATATCAACTCTCAGGAGAGCACTACACCTCGAGGGTAAATGTCTTTGACTAGTTTAACAGCTTCTACTTCACCAGACAATCACTTGCACTTCTCATGTCTTGCACCTTCTCGTGTGCGCTTTGTGAGCTTTTGGCACAGCTTTTCTTCTGTAAAATGATCAAATGGTGAAGCAACTATGTGTTGCTACTGAACAGAATAGCACAAAAGTCTCAAGTCTGAAGATTAAAGAGTAAGTAAATTTTACATTGCTAAGAGACAAAAAATAGTCAGTCACAGACTTGAAACCTTCAGCATTCATCACAGCATCTCAAGAGCAGAAGACCAATAAATATCAATCTGCTCTCCACAATTGCTTATCTCTCCCACTCAATGGCTTTGCTTGGTAAATTTTTCATTCACACACTGAATCATTCAGTTGTGTTTCAGGTCGCTGCTGAGCAACAAATTGTTTTCCATCGCGTTGACGCTTCACGTGTGCTACCCAATTAGGCGATCAAGAAGAAGACCTACCCAAATCTTTTGAGACAATCCGGTGGTTACACAACAGCAATATTTGTCAAATTAATTACTGTAATAGATACTCATTAACTGCGAGTGAATCTTTGCTTATGCCTAGACCTTTTTCTCAGGCCCGCACTGCTGTGAAGTGAATGTAAATATTGGAGAGGTGAGATTGCGTTGCAAAGTCTCGTGAGGGAATATTAGCAAACCACAGGGTTACAAGTGTATACTCAAAGAAAACCTTATTACTATCATCAGCCCACCCTTTGGGCCAAACTTCTTACAAACATACACATGTATGTACACGCACACCTCCCCAGTCAAAGACGAGCCTGGAAGAGATGTTCCCGAGATTATATTTGTACACCGAGTGTCATTACCCATAAGATAACATTTCACATTAACCATTTAATACACTCCACTCTCTCTGCCTTTCTTTCTCTAATTCACACACACCTACACACAAAACTTAGGCGCACCGAAACCTCTATTTTGCCTCAGAACCACCTTTTGCTTCTAATTCTACCTCCGCCTTGTGGCAATTTCTATTTCCTCCACACTTTCATCTTATTATTATTACAAAATCTTCCGCCGAAAAACATGTTGGCTTGAGTAAATGGCAAAATTGACACTGCTTCTACATATCAGCTCGGATTTCTCATTGGCATATATGAGAATTTAAGGTATTAATTAAGATTTGAGTTGAAGGGATGAGATCTCGGCAAAGCTGAGAGATTTAATTAGGGCAATGGGCGCATCAAGTTTCTTAGATTGAATTTGGCAGAGAAGTAACATTTCTAGTGGACTAGCAGTAAGATTCCTTAGAGATTATATCTAAACCTGACTAAAGTAGGAAAATTATTATTTATTGTACAGCCTAGAACAAGAAAACTACAATAAATTTGTAAAGGTCACGCATTTATGTCAAAAAAAAATTATGAGAACGTTAATGAGATTTAGGACTGATAAAATCATCATCAGTGGTTCTTGTTTTCTAACAGTGTATTTCGAGGAAACATCCAAAAATTCACTTATTTATTTGGAAATACACAAAAAGTCGTATCATCAAATAATTTATTTATAGAAGAAAAAAATGCAGAGGTGAAAAAGCGAAATCACGTCATTTATTTCTACTCCAAATATCATCTTGTATTGGTTTTCACTCTAAACATTTCTTTTATCGTTTGTTGAGACTTTGCATGATTTCGGAGATTGTTTCCGGTGCTATTTAGCATATTTTATTGCCCCGAACTTAAGTCAGTGAGTTTGGTTGAATGTGATTCTGTCTCTCTCTCTCTCTCTCTCTATGTCATGGAAAAGTGTTTCTTGGCTGGAGGTTCACGTTGAGCAAAGGAAAAGACGACGCACCGTAAAATTTGATGATGTTTTCGCTGAATTTGCCGAAAAATTGCATCAATTGACCTTTCCGAAGACTGTGTCAGAGGCGAAATCACGCCAATTTGGCTTGAAGGTTTTGGCCAGACTCTCGTTGTGGATGATATTTTCAGTTATGATTTTTGGTGAAATTACATAAACACAATTGCTATTAATAATGAGAAAGGACTTATTTATAGTCCCGCTCTGGCTTTTTGAGCGCAATTGAACTGTCTTGTGGCTTATATAATTATGATTTGAGGCATTGGCTTCTTAAAGAGCTTTTAATGAGACACACATTTGTAACACATTTCGAATGAATTCATCTTTCTAACAGTGTTTGTCATAAAATTCGTCGCGTCTCTCACTCACTGAATAAATAAACTTTCACTGGTCTTTTTTTCTGCACGAATGGATTTAGGTGTGATTTTTTGCTCCTTTGGTGCGCTTGCAAGCTGCAGAAATTCATCTGCACAGCTCAGACAAGAAAAAAAACGGTGAATACAAAAAATACCCGTGAGATAAATCTAACGCCGCACACATTTTCGTCTCGACTACAGGTGAGAGATTCTCCCACCTGGTCTTGTGCTCAAATGTTGTGTGAAAGTGTTGAGTTTTTCGTGTTTGCGCCAACCAGATAAAATTACCCGCCAATTCACCAATAAAGTACAATTAAGAGTGTTTTCTTCATCCCCGCCTTCCATTCCAAACTAATTAGCAATTTCATGCAGTTGGTAAATGTAATTGAACTTTTAGAAGGAGTTTTTCTTCAGCGCCACCGCTCAGCGTTTCTTCACCTTTTGTGGAAAATGTGTGTCTCTGAGTCAGAGATTTTCTTATACGTGAAAAGTTACATGATGATGATGAGTTTGAGTGGCGAAGAGAGACCGAGGATGTATACGTTATTAATTAGAGTCCATCTAACGTGAAATTGAAGATTTTCGCCCTTTGACTCTCAGTCTTGTGATCTTGGCGATGTTGACATGAGTTGAGAAAGACAAATTGAGGTGGAATGATGGGGAAATTTCAGACACAAGGTGTGAGTGCGTATGCTTTCTTGGAGAAAAGAGGCGAATACAGCCTCTGATAGACAATTTCGGCAGAGTTGACATGATACCGGTTTCAGAACTTAGATAAATTATGCCACTTAATTCAAGTTCCCAATAATCATGGAGGTTTTAATGGGTAAAATCAATTTTAAAACGACAACTGATTAAACATGCATCGAACGAAAAGTATCACTAAAATTATGTCTATAAATTGTCTCTTGACTAATCGTCAGAACTAAAAAATTTTAAATTTCCGATTAATAAGGAATATGGCTAAGAACTTTTTTTCTCCCACTACAGATTCAACCTTAACAACAAAATCTTAAATCAAGTTCTCATACAATATTGTTTGACCAAATTAAGCAATGTAAATATTATGATTTTCAAATTCTCTTATTTTTCTGCCTACAAGCTTTCCAATTGAATAAATCTAAATCGTTTCACTCTACACCAAGTGAAATTATTTCATTTCTCTATTAATTGTTATAGGATTTCGTCTCTAAAGTAATCCCATTTCCCTCCATTTGACGATGGACTGACAACAGGTGGAGAAGGAAATGAATGGAAAAGCACCGGATATGTTTATTTTAAATATAATTTTTTATCCATTCAACACGCGGTGCGCAAACACCATAGAGGTTATAATCTATGGTTAGACATCATTATGTATATGAATATTTAACAGAAATCCATTTGTGAGTGGCTGTTTAAATTAAAATACACAACTTTTCTGGCTGTATCTCAGCATAAATCGCGAGTCTCTCGCAATTGCCGACGCTCACAGGTTTAGAAGTTCATCGCGCGCTGACAAGGGGAAAAATTTATGCTAACACCGCACAAGTACATATTGGCAACCCCTATACTTGTTGGGCACTTAATCCGGCATCAAGTTAGAATTGTAATTGAAATTTTTTTTTACGACGCCACTATGAAGACGAAAAATGTGTGTTTGTGCGATAAAAAAGCCACCAGACAATTCAGTTTACCAGCAATATTTCGCTCATTCGTATTTTTTATGATGAATTTTTAATTTTATACCACATTTTTCAGCATCATTCACCTTAATTCATTTTTAAAAAACCTGCGCGCCCCTTTCCAAGCGATATACTTTTTCGGATATTATATTTTTTGATGCGTCCCCCAGATGACGATTCGCCTTCCCTTTCCCAAGCCCCCACAATACCTTCGCGGGCATGGCAGAATACAGGATTGTTTTCTTTATTTAATTTCTTATTTATTATTTATTGTTTGTACTCTGCCAATTTCTTCCATCAACCCACACCCTTTCTCTTTCTCTCTCTCTCTCTTTATCCAGCCCTTCGATCGCAATTCAATCTACTTTATGTTGCTCCTCCACACCCCAGCCATTGCCAGCAATTTGGAAGAATGTCTAGCCCACTCAGAGAGCTTCTTGCCCTCCTCCCCTAATGTTCACGTCTCGTGGATTTTGAGAGTGGAATTACAAGTATTTTTGCGGATGCTCTTTGTTGTTTTCATCCGAAAAAATATACTGCGCGCCTCTCTCATGAATTCAAAAGTAAAAGGTGGCTAATTAGAAGCAAATTGACGCTCCAGTAAGTAAAATAATCATATGATCTCAGAAGAGAGAAACATAAATTCATGAGCATCACGCTCAAAACATAAAAATACCGAAATTGTGATAATTCCATTAGAGAAATATTATCAGGTGAAAACAACAAACTACATTCAAGACTCACTCTCATATAGCACAAGAAACTTTCAAAGCCTTGCAACTTTTATGTATTCTAAAAATGAAATCAAGGAGTCTGAAAAGCATTATTTAATTGATTTACTGCATTTATTCGACAATGTCACTTTAAAAGATGCAATGAATAAAGTGAAGTGTATGCAAAAATACTAATTTATATATATTTAAAACATACTAAGTTTAATGGTTTGTGAGAAAAATCTGTATTTTTCAACTGAAATACATATATAAAGCGTAACTTCGATTGTTATTGATC